TCATAATTCAGTTTATGAAAGAAAGATATTGTATTCATAAAGTATGAAATGCTCACTTTGCTATAAATGCCGGCGCAAAATCGATACGATGCTTTCGTGGTGGCCATTCAGAAATCGTCCGAGATATCTCGTCTCCCAGTTGATGCGTCATCGGGTGCGGCCGCCGCGTTGCAACGCTCGCCGGTAAATGGAAAGCAAACGAGAGGTTTTGGCACAGAGAGGCGGACCGATTGGCAAACATCGGTTTCGACGCGCGACTGACGAGAAAAATTTTCAATTAGCCGATGCACCCGCGGCATCGCGTAACGTCGCTCGCGTCCGCCGCCAGCACAACGATGCACCACCGCTCTTCGCGGTCACGCCGAAAAAAGAGACCGAAATTAATTACTTTCGGCATCAACGCAGATTCGCAGCTGACGGGAATCGTTGATCGATCGCTTCGCTTGACACGATTAAATTCGGTTTGTTCTGCAATGATCCGCTGCCTTTGCGACTGCTTACGACGCTGTCTAAGACGCTGATGACATTCGACGACGAGGAAGTCGTTCGTTGTTCAAAACACGCAATGCGAGCAAACTTCTCTAAATATTTATGGAGAAAGAATTTATTTCGGCACTGAGAAAACACGCTTGTTTCATGGGAAGATTCGGTAGGAATTAAATACGATTGTCGGATTTCGCGTACACGGAATAGCATCGCTATTAGCATATACATCTGACACAGGAATTTTTATGGAAAAATGATAATCCTCGTAAAAAAAAATAAAAAAAAATCGTGGTGAGTCGAAATCGACGGAACGTATTTGCAACGTATTTCAATCGCCCGTTACTTTATTATCCGTTTATATTCGCGAAAAAATATTTTCGCAGCTATGGTATGCTGTAAATGCGCGCTTAAAGGCTTACAATTTTCAATCCATGCAAAAAAATATTTACATATGTCATTTGCCGAAATGTTTCGAAAATCAGAAGTTAAAACAATTTCTGTTTCGTGCACTTGGTTACTATTTGAGATTGAAGAGAATTGGAATAGGAACCGAAGGAAAGAGACAAGCGACTGCTCTTTGATATAATACCGGATTGCCGTAATTCTACCTGGTATTAAGCGAAGCGTTTTTCGCGCCGCGGTTAAAAAATTCGTTTCAATAGGAGTGCGATTACATCCCGTCACAGACATGACAATGGAATCTCTCGTCTCGCCAATTACACCTCTTTCCATTTATCTTTTTCTCGTCGTTGAAACGTTCACCTTTTTCCATGCATAAACCCCTGTGCAGCGTTAAGCTATCGAATATTATCAGATATTTTGCAAAAAACAAAAATGGTATTTCTGCTATTTCTTTAAATGCTCGAAGGAAATTATTAATATTTTGAGTTATAAGCAACAAAGATGTCGTTTCCAAGGGAACGATGATTAATTACGTGACTTTCGAGAAATATAGCTTCGTTTAATTAAGTTATTGGAATAATTACATTGAAATATAGCGAAATATTTAAATTGGATGTTATTAGTCGAGAAATAATAGAATGTGCTCGACGCGCGATTGTAATATTCTTTCCGCGAGAGAAAATTAAGTACAGAGCACAATACTGGCAACAACAATACTAGTATTTCACATTGGTGGGCTTGTTGCGGCTGCGGTACAATAACAGTATCTTATTTAGATAACCAGTCGTGTACTTTAGTAACAGCTCTTCAATTGCTACGAACCTTGCCTTTCTTCCATGACCTGTATACTATATTTAGAATGGATTCGGAAACTCTCAGAGAAATGCATTACTAAATAACAAAATTTAATATCTTATATTTCTTGCTGATTATTGCGCGTTTTGTATATTTAAATATTTCCTAAATATATAAATCCCGTCTTTTAGCATATCGTAATTATTATTATTTTTCAAACGATTTTGCGAGTAATTATTTTCTACCCGTTAAGACCGGAATAATATCGCGAGATCGTTATAACACGCGAAACTCGGATTACATCGGCGCTTTGGGATCGACTTCTGACGTCGATATAATTTCGCGAATTTCACAGTGATATGGTGCATGAACAGTGGTGCAACGGCCACATGTAGCGTCTATACTGCCGACGGAAATTTCATTTCCCTCGGATTTAATCGACGTCTTTGTCCCTGACTCGCCGACCGTGAGCCTCGTGAAACGCAGCAGCTCGCGGACGTAATGTTAATTTTTCGTTTCTTCTTTCACGTCTGTGGATCATGGCGCTTTGGAAACCGACTCGCGCGCGGCGCGAGGCAAAGTTGAACGGCGAATTGACCACGGTGTAACACAGTCGGCTTCACTGATTGCCAATATGGTGGAGTCCATAGAGTACAACACTGTGCCATTCTATATCTGGGATAGTCGCGGACTCGCACAATGTGCCGCGGGCGTTAATTTCCTCGTGAAACGTATTGCGCCCCTGCGATTCAATTGTTCTACCCCACGGCATACGATGCCACGATGGTGCTCGACCGGAGCTCATAATGAGTAACTGTTCTCTGGCCTCTTGTCTACGTGTTGTTAGGACCATTTTAGGACCGTGCACACTCTTCCACTGGATTTCCATAGCAAAATTATAATGATTATTGACAAATTTTGACCATATCAATTTGAGGTCTGACGTACATCTTTACATGACAAGTGAAGAAATGTCAACTTAAACTTTGCTAATTAAAGCTATATCGAAACGGAGGTTTTCTCGAAATGATTATCCAGCTGCATCAAGATGCGATTTTAGAGAGATTAGATCATGTCACAGCGCTAAAGATATACGAAGTAAACAATCAACACTACAATAGAGCTGCAATTTTTGGATCAAACAGCGTCTAAAAGCGTATACATTTACCCGCGCCAATAACAGCGAAAAATCGAAATCCGGGGCCGATTTTCCCGCCACAAATTTGCAACAACGAAGGCTCTACGGTACCAACAGCAAATACGTTTCAGCTAGGTACAAATTCTATGACAGCGACACAGATTAAACTTTAGGCCTCGGGGTAACTGGCTCGAGGCGCCCAGTTGTCGCGCTAGTTTTCAGCCCTCTCAGCCCGTTCCCATCCCCTTCGCCATCGTCGCAGCGTGGGTGATTGTTTCTCTCGCGGCGGGAAACAAATCCGCACGCGATGACAACGCGACGCACGCTGCACTCTAACAGGCTTCATCTACCAACGGTATGCCGCGCTGCAACAAAAGCATGCCGCGCATCGCTCCGCAGAGTGCTGTTTGTCGCTTTGGCGTCGCGTATTTACGCACTGGCGCACTGTAATGAATTCGAGATAGTCTTCCAACGCGCGCGCGACTCTCCGGTTTTGTTACACTCTACGTTCCTCTACGTATTCGATTAGTTGCAGCGTGCTATATACATCTGGGTCTGTACAGCTACCTGTTCGGTTTCTAACACATACACGCTGTGGCGCATTGTGAGATCACGAGATATATATATATAAAATGGTGATTTGACCTGAGATTGCATTATCGCTGCGAATCTTTCGTGAACTCGGCTAGTTTTTATTGCAACATGATATCGTAGAACTCGTTGCGCGAATATTACCTTTGGATCGCCTTAGAATCGCGCATAAAAAGAGCACGAGAATTTTCCATATGGATTTATATAATCAAGCGAGGTAATAGATTATTTACACCGGATGGACGCTATATTGGAGAAAATAAAAAAATAATTCCATTGGTCCTGTCAAATAAAATATGTATCGTATGATGGACGTCGAAAAATCAATTTAGATCGCCACAAATAAATGTCGTGTCCAAGTCATTTGGAAAGAGAAGATAATAATTCTGAAAATAGCTCAGAAATTTACGTCGAATAATAGAGCCAAAATAAAAGGAGAAAAAAGAGAGGAAAAAATATATCGTAATGGAAGGTATGGAAGCGGAATGCAGGGTACGCTTTTTTCTCTGTGACGGGAGTCACTACCGACTCGTTTGCTTGTTTAGTGGCATTGATTATTCAAAGGTACGTCACTTTCGTGATAACGTTCCATCTCGATAATTCCAACTGCCCATCTACCTCGAGGGTTACTAACCCCCCGAGTTGCACACAATAATCGATACGAGCGACCAAAATTTATGACACGAATATATGGCAATATGAATGTATTAAGCAATGTGTTTCTTATACTCGTAATATGACAGATTTGATAATATAACTCACGTGTGTCTTATCAAAGTTGGAAAATCTATATTATCTCAATGATATTCTCAATGATAATGATATAATATTCAATGAACATCTATGTTTATTCAACGAATAAAAATACCAGAATTTATTTTTACTTGATTATGTTCAATAAAATGTTTTATGAATATTTGTATATTAATTTGATCAACTATTGCTACTTTTTACAGTTAACCTTCGGCAATTATATCGCTGTAGACGAAGCTGTCAGATATACACCTCATCCAGAGGACCCTTCCAAGACATTACTCACGCAAGAAGCGGTGGTCACTGTCCGGGGGGTACCGCTGACTAATTACATGGAAGACCTCTTAGCTTCAAAAATTTCCTTCAATGCAAGTAAAGTAAGTGAAGTAAAGTAAGTCCTCTTTTATTTAGATATTCCGTTTGTATATACAACTTTCTAAAAATTTGACAAACTTATATATTGTTAAAAATTATACAATTTTTATAAATTATTTTCATTTACTGTTCAATGAATTACGACATATTAACGTTTAAAAAAAGTTAAAAAAGTTTTTTATAATTGAATAAAAAGAAGAAAAAGATGCGTAAACTTTTTCTCGAGAAAACCATAGATTTTTATCCGTATAGAAATTTTTCCATTGCATGCTATTGGTACTTTTTTCAATTCGATAAACAGTCTGTCAAAGATTCGCCATAAAAAGCGCTTCATAAAACGGTGATGCGCCCGTGCGTTTCATAAAAGTTTATGAATGACATCAGCTGCAATGACGTTTCCGCGATCAAACTTTTTCACACATGCATGTAATCTTTTTTTGAGGGCCGACAAGGGTTGGAATGGGTGATCAACAAGCTCGAATCCGAGATGAAGGAGTTTGCCTGAAAGGCCCAGCCGCCGTCGCGAAACTTCTGAACTGCCGCTATCAGCACAACACGAGCGCCGGCGTCGATAGGGAGCGGCAACTTCTAGATCGAACGATTACGCGGATCAGAAGAACATTAACGTCCCGGGCTTCGTCAGAAACGAGCAGATGATTCGCCGCGGGCCACGTAGATCGCCTAATTGAATTTTGCGAAACTTGTTACTAACCGGTTCGTAGGAAACGAACGTTCCCTTTGAAGGGCGATCGCCTCTGTAACCATACACTTGGGTCCAGGCCTGCAAGGATCGGTTGAACGGGCGAGATAACACGACTGATATAGAAATACGAAAATACGTAAGTTTAACTCAAATGAACAAGTACAACGGTTGATACAGCAGTGGGATGGCAATAATTCCAATGTTTCAACCTATACATCTCATATACATCTGTCGGCAAATCGCCGATTCGTGATGTATCTATCATGAATTTATCTAGCCAATTCAAATACGTGGACGTGAACATGGACGACCTCCACCATTTAGAGAATTCAAAAAATAATATTGTCAATATTATATGTAATTTATATTTAATTTAAAATATTTAATTGAAAAAAGTTTTAATAAGTATTAGACACAATTTCTTTATGAAATCCACAAATTTTTGTTTTTTACCTTCCCACACGCTTTCTATTTTTTTATTATATTCTATTTTTTTTTATTACATTTGTTATTGCAAATTACTTTTGCTTGGACGTAAATTGTACGAGTACGTCCTACGAAACCTACTACGCTGCTAAGCTCAACATGCGAACGATCCCATTGACTGGCCGAAGACGAACAATGCAGACACAGACTTTCGCGAAACTATGTTTCCCGGAACTATGTTGGCCGGACTCTCATTCCTCCTCAGCGAGAAGCCTCTTTGATCGCGGCGAGGAGGCAACTTACATCGCGAAATCACTGCGTGGTCTCTTTGACGCATCGGCGTATTTGCATCTGAGAATTGTACCGTTGTCGCGACTAATTAATTTCGCGGTTTTCTCTTTGGCGCTTTGTCGACGTATCGAAGATTTATAAGTCACATCGATCTTTTCTCACGTTGACTTTCACGATTTTACCGATATTTTTTCGTATCGATGGTTTGTTCTTTCAGCCAGTGTGATCTGTCGATTTAAATCCACCGATTGTTTTTAAATCCCAATTGAAATCCACGTGAAACTGCTCTGTTGGCTAAAAATAAAAGAAACACCGGACGAAAGTGGTATTTTTTATATCAAAAAGTCGAACGAAAAGGGAAAGAAGGGGATGAATTTATGTACGGCCTACGCGCGGGCCAGAACGCTTTAATTTAGGAAAGTCGACATGCACGTCGAACGCGGACGTTGATTTACCAACGAGCTCAGCGGTTCGATAGGAAAACCGAGCAGACAAGCACTGGTGCGTGGGGACGCGTACAAAGGATACTGCTCACCGCTTTGTGATCGGAAGCTGTCAATATTTGTCTGCGTCGAGTAACAGAGAGGGCAGCAAACCATAACGTCATCAATTATCTCTTACATACCACCACCAAACGAACCACGCGTCAAATTTGTCCGTCCTACGTTACTTTGGCCTCCTCGCCTCTGATCGTAGTCGTTCGCGGCCAACCTGGTGATTCGATCGAAACTGAAGGACATGAAACCGTTTCCGATGAAAATCGTCTCTCGACGGCAACAATGACCCGATCGAAACTTCAGTCCATTCGAAATCAGAGATTGCCAGGAATGTCGAGTCCGATCCTTCAATGATGAATCGATTTCTCGCGCTATGTTGTGTGCTACACACGTGGAAGTACTCTATGGCTTGGCGCAAGCACTCTCGAAAGGCAGTTAAGCCGAGCGAATGCCCGGAGAAGAGAGAGTGGCATTGAGATATTTCGCGGAGAGTATTGCGGACATTGGTAGACCACCTTGACCGATATGTCAAGGTCTTTCACGTGATGCTGTGAAAAAGATGTTAATAAATTAGATTTTTGCAAACAACGATCGTCATTTGAATAATTCGATTTACAAATTATGTTACGTTATGATTTCGATTACTTGTTATTATGGACGAATTTAAACGAATTAAAGTAAGGTAAGGTAAGATCGAAAAAGGAAAATGCATTCTCTCCGTTCTATATACGTTTCACAAATTTGATTCAAATTTCCAAATTTCTCATCTGCAGCATCGACAATTCCGGATCGGCCAGTGATGCTGAACATGTTCAGCCAGGGTATATATATGTTACGTATTACATATTTACTCTGGTATCGCGAATAAAGCCCGCGCGTCTTGCCTTATTCATATTTAGATTGCAATACTTTACAATGCTACATTAGAGACAATACAGGCGAAGTGGCAATACTTGAGAGAGGTCTCCCATGTGCGGTTTTTGGAAAATCAAAAAGCGTCTCGCTGCTTGCTTCGGATTCTCGTGACTCTGCAATGAGAAGACTGCAGCGAGGAGACGGATAGAGGAACTCGGGACACCGAGTGCCGTCGTTCTCGTTCCTTCGACCTTCGGGCGTATGTACCCGAGCTCGTAAAAAGGATTCGCCTTTCACAGTCGAATCTCATCCCCATTCCTCTCGGTTCCGATTCTCCCGGGAGAGGGTGAAATTCGAAGAATCGAACGGTCTCATGGTTTACACATCGTGACGGCGCGCTCTCGTCAAAACCCGTAAAAGCTCTCGGGAACGATCGACTCTGAGAGCTAGCAAACGGTCAAGGAGATCCTCCATACAGTTGCCGATTCACGACCTCGTGAAAAGCCATCCACCGCAGTCTTGGCGCTCGTCTTATTTTCCCCCCGTGTTGCTCCGTTGCGCCGCTCAGCGCCGACGGTCGCAAAAGCGCAGCGTCAATTTTCTTCCAAATAATAAACTCGATCGACCCACGCGAGTCCATACACCACCTATTCGATCGGTCATTCACGCCCTGAAAAGTTCTAACGACTTGCTTCTTTTTTATTTCAAATGTTTTCAAAAGTTTCGAGAACTCACTTCTGCGTGCTTCGATCATTTCCGTTTGTAGAATTAGGGTCGATAGGGGAAAAAAGTTTTCCCCCCTGTGTGCAGCAAGTAATACGCGTTTTGATATTTAATTCGAAAAGTTCTTATCTGCGGAGAGATTGCATTTTACTAGTCCAAGGAAATTCTGGAAAAATGCCAAACGCATTTCGCTATTAAAATCTCGTTGCCTTTTTTATGTGCAGTTGAGACATTTTTTCGAATAATTTAAGAAAGATCATAATTTTAACGTGGAAGATTTTCTCTTTTTTTACGGATTATCTTTCCGTATTGCCCGTCAAGCTCTTATTTTACTTGCATCAGTAGATAAAGAGAATTGGCCGCAAACCAGCACCCGATGTTCGCAAACTCGGTGTATTTCTAAACCAACTTCGTCAATACATCCCGTTTTATCCTTTCTGAGAAAGAACTTTTAATGAGTTCGCGTACACTGTTTAAAGATTTAAAGTTTTGCGAGCTTCAAAGAGATCGTGCCATGCTTCTCTAAAGTATTACAGGCAAGGCGAAGCATTATTACAGAACGTCTGCGATATTACATCGTAAAAATTGCCTCTGTATATTAGTTCCTCGCTCCTGTTCCCTATCAAAAAGAAACTCAAAGAGAAATGCATACTGCAAACGAGAGGGAAGAAAGGGAAACCTTGGAATATCTAACAAGATTACACGAATCTTTTTAATATCAAGAAGCAATTTTTTACTCGGACTTTCCTCCGATCGTTTATCGTCTACGCAACAAAAGTTTAAGGTTGCCACAAAGAAACGCGAAATTTAAACATGCGCAATAATCGGACGATACTTTAGGTGCCAGTAAAAAGTTCATTCCGTGAAAACACACAGACGGTACAACTATTAAAATCGGATTTCCCTATTTTACGTTCTGGGCGTTCAAGTCTCTCCTCATCGTAAAACCACGAAGATAACGGCGATGCGACTACAAATAATTGCTAAACGTGACGAACATCGGCGAACGGCGGCCACGAAGAACGAACGAGTGATCTTTAATTTAAGTAGTATATGCATTTCCCGGGCACACCGGTAGATAAGTTGCGGCAAAATTGATCGTACGAAATTGGCTAACGTCGACATTGTCTCGCGTCGCAGCTACACGAGCACATAGGTATTCACTGTAAAGCAGATACATAGGTAATAACGGGAGACGTTGAGCCGTCGTGGACGACGCGGTGCATACGCTTGCCCTATTAGCATACAATTATCTTTATGCTTCTTTTATGATTCATATTTAATGCCGGTTTCGCCGCCACCACCATTACCACGAACCTCCACCACCACCACCACCACCACCACCATCACCACCACCACTACTACTATCACCATCACCATCATCCAGCGTCGAAACCGGCTCGAAGTTGGCAAACTTTTACGGTCGTACTTGTTTCGAAACTTAACGTACCCCATGCTTGCCTGTTATCGGGCCTACCATGATTCGCTTGCACCCCTGTTAAACGTGCCCCGGAAAGTACTTCCTAGAACATGCGGTGCACGAAAATTTATTGCCATACGTGCGAACATAGTCGACAAATGCGTCGATTATGTTTGCTTTGTCACGTCAACGTGATCGGCGAGCCTTGAGATTAAACGAACGGCGACGATAAGGCTATTGACAAATTTTTATAACACTAAAATGTAAAATATTAAAATATAATAGAAAATATAATGTAAAATATGAAAATAATTTTCAAATAAAATATTTTGCTGTGTTTTCTACACAATGTGATTTTTTTTTACTTCTCGCTTCATATCCTTTTATTAAAATTATGTGTTTTATTTAATTTTTGTGCTATAATATGTTAAAATTTAGCAATACGATACGAGTGGAAAACAATAAAAGTGTATTCAATATTCTGATGATTTTTGATATATATATATATATATATATATATATATATATATATATATATATAGTTAG